TCATATATTTCTTCTTATAGTGATTTTTTTTCCTCATGTGTACACTTACTGGTTCATTTGTTTATTGAGCTTTTATTCAAGTTGGTCTCTGCATCTTACAGGATTTGATCCATATAAATCACTGCACTTTATTGTACTGTGAATACAGTAACTTGCAACCAAAGCAGCTCTTAAAATGCTACTATCAGATGAAGCAGCTTAATATATTAGTTCATTAGTTCAAAGAAAAAAACCCTCTTAGATACACTTTTGTCTGCTAGATTGCTGCTGATTTGGCGGATAACAGCCTAGTTGTATTGTGATAAGGTTCTTTTTCAATTTTAGACCTGATTTGGAACTAAGCTATTGCTGAGTTTTCATTGGAAACAAGTAAGAGAGAGTGAAAACTCTGGAAAAAGTAGATGATGTCAGTCAGCTATTGTGAAGTGACAGCAAACCCAGCAACATAAAGTAGCTTGATAGGAATACTATTCACCACTAAGGTTAGCATTTGATCATTAAAGAGATAGGCACTCCAAGGGGTATTACCATTGACAGTAGAGCTACAAGCTGTCAAACAGATTTTTTTTTTTTTAAACTTTAGCCTGTTGAAGATTTTGAACTGAATCTATTTTTCTTATACAACAGAAGCATTTTAGGCAAACCAAGTGACTTTATTTTTTTGTTTTCTTAGATGGTATGATTGAGTAGATGAAAACTAGTTTTAAACAAATTAACAATGATTTTATGCTTCATCCTGCTATCATTGAGACAAAAATCTAAGTTCTGGTTAATGTCAAAAGGGAGGAAGATCCAGACGTTAATATGAAATTGAAGAGTGTGACTCAGTGTGCTCTTCGCAGCACTCTTTCATTATCTCACTCGGACGTTCGTGTTATTCACGTGGGAGCATCACTTTTTGAAATCACAGGATTTCAACTGCTGACTGTGGCTAACTGGACAAGATGCAGTGTGCACATATGACAAAAGGAAGTCCCTTCCCCAAAGACACACCCAAAGAAAGATGACAGACAACGGATAGATGTGACAAAGAAGCAAGTGATATAAATTGTTCCACTGTTTTATGTTTCTGTTTTGCCTTATGAACAGCAGTCACAGTACACCTGCTGCTTCATGACTAGTGTATGTTTTGAAGACAACACATTAAATGGTATAAAATTGCTGGGAGGTCAAACTGATCATGCTTTTTGCTTCTCATCTTAAGAATCTGTGATTCTAATTGCTCCTTGTTTTGGAAGTTGTGCAGTAACAACGCCAGCTAACCCATTTCAGAGCCCTATAATCTTCAAGCATTGAGGGGGGGAGGAGGGGGACAAAGTTTTTTTTTTTTGTTTTGTTTTTTAAAAAACATCTCTCTAAATGCAATGGTAAAATACACACTAGCTTCAACAGTGCCACGATTTTTCTCTCAGTATTTAATGGGAAGTGAAAAACAATTTTTGAAAAAAATTCCCAGTTTTTAATTACTCAGTTTAAAAAAAAAAAAAAAAAAAAAGCTCAGTAGTATACCTGATATTCTAGGTCGGTGGACACCAGGAGAGAATTTTTAGAATGCAGTTGGCTTTTGAAATGAATTGTTTGCTTTCAACTCACTGGACACGTGTTTTTGCTTCCATCTCTTAAACTGAGAAGACTTTCCTACTGATGGAAGGAGGGTAGAGTGTTGGGCAGGGGAACGTTTTCTTAAATCCATCTGCTACAGCCTCTTCTCTAGTCCACCATTCTCTGTGTCAAGAGGACAGCTCCCAAATCTGTGCTTCTAACCAGTCAGTGAGGGAACATTACTGTCTCCTGAACAGCAAACAAAAAAAGAAGTTGAACCAGTAAACTGATTAGAACAATTAGTAATTTTAACTACATAAGGCAGGTTATATTTATCAGTTGATATATCACATTGAAGATGAAACAAGAAGTCTCAGGATAACAATGAATTTTCTCATTAATTTGTTGGCAGATTTTGTTGCAGATTTTTCAGCTTTCTAGCTTTATAGTTAGCCATAGGTTGTGTAGAGGCAGGTCTGACAGATCTCTTCATTCTGTCGTCTTTTCTAGAGCCGGTTCTTCCTTCACAATTAGTTGTGTTAATTACGCAGAAAAGATTAGGCATACTTGCCAAAATAACATATTGCTAATAAGACAGGAAGATGTTTTCTCATTACTGAGTATGAATTCTTTTTTTTTTTTTTTCATTCCTCCCCTGTGAGCAGGGTCTAGAAAAGGTTTTTGTCATGAAAGTGGTAGTTGTGCAAGCTAGAATTTGTGATGTTGAAATGTTGTCACTTCCCCTCTTAGGAAGAAACTAGAGTTGGGGCACCCGCTCTGTTGCATGAAATTTGGCGAGTGGCCTAATCTTCAACTGTCACTGGTAAAATACCCACAGAAGAAAAGGGAGAATTCTCTCTGTACAGGGATTGCAGGGCATAGCCAAGAAATGAGCACACTTACTCATTTCTGAAGTGGCTGGAGGCAATAGTGTATTCATAACTGAATCCATCTAGAGACCTGAAGCTAGGGCTGTTCCTCTCCTGAGGATAACAGGATAGTGGAAAAGGAGCAGGAGGATGCTGATAAAATATTATGTAATCATTACTGCCTTCTAAAAGTGAAATGTCTGCAGAGTGCTTTGGAGTGAGAAGGGTATTGACGAATAAAATTTAATAATTAATTAGTGACATTTCAGAATGACTTTTAAAAACATTAAGGAAAAACAATAACCCAGATTTTAAAAAAAGTCTTTTACAAGACCAAATTTAGAAATGAAAACTATTCAGTGAGTAGCATAATTCTGAACATGAATAAAGGATCTAGTTTCCGTGGTTTCCATATTTTTGTTAGGAAAACAAATTAAGTTCTCCCAAGTCTGCTGTTTCAAAAAAAAAAAAAAACTTAAATATAATCTCAGTATGTAATATTGCAAATACAAGTTTAGACATGTGCCATGTTTTGGTCCATTTCAATCTGAATTCACCTGGACTCTGTGGTATGTTTCCTACAAAATACTTTTAAGACAGAAAAAATACAAAAAAGACTGACATTAAAACTTCCTTTCACTCTAAAATTCTGCAAGTGCTTCTGCCATTCTGTCTTTCTGTCTAGTTACCCCTGAACTTCTGGAAGGCAGTAGGACTGTATGTTGAAAACATCTCCAAACGTGGCAAAAACCAGGTGCTGGCCATAGAGCCAGAAATAACAAGAGTAAAGGAAACAATCTCATTTTTAAACTAAACTTCCCCCCCCCCCCTTAATGAAAAGTTGATAACAAAAACCTACACACCCATATCTGGAGAGAAGACTATTTTTTCTTTGCACTTTTTGTACTTTTTATAGCAAATGGGAAGCTGCTGCTTATCCAGCAGAACACAGATTAACTGGTACATTATCCTATCATTTTTTTACCTGGCCATCGAGATCCTCCCCCAGATGATGATTATTTTTATTTTGGGTAAAGAGTTTTAATTTATAATAATTCTCCTGTCTTGGGCAACATCATAGGGTTTTGGTCACATCATGCTGTATATCATGTCAATAACATCTTTCTGTCTGTTTTCAGATGGTGGATGTTCTCAGATGGTACATCTGTTTTAGATGTAATGTCAGTTCTAAAGGTATTCTTCATTTCAGGTCTGGTAATACTTGTACAGCTGACATGAACTTTTAGACTGAATCCACAATATCACATAAAATATAGCCTTTTCTCATTGCATGGCTGATCATAGATCTCACTGTTAGCAAACAAAGTGTACAGTCTCAAACTTTATTTTGATAGACCTGTTTTAAAGCTACCAGCAATGTGGATGTAAATATAAAAAGAATGTTTTTTATTGTTTGTAAACATGTACTCTGTGAAAGGACACTGGTTATAAATTCTTATAGCATGTGCACGTGCTCTCTCTCTCTCTCTCTCACTCTCTCTCTCACTCTCTCTCTCACTCTCTCTCTCTCTCTCTTTCTATATATAGAATTTTAGATTGGACTGTAATAAATTGCATTTTGCTGCTATTTTATCTGCCAGAGATAATACAAATCTCATTATTAAGCTTGACCAAGAGGTTGGGTTAGCAGAATGGTTATAGCCTTCATGTTTTCTGTAATTGGAAACCTCAGATCAGCTATTTTTCCCCAGCATTTTTGAACATAATTTAGACCAAATGTAGGTATTTTTCTTGCTGTTCTTATGCTATGTATGAAGTATTTTACTACAAAGTCTTCATGTTATTTCCTCGTTTTGGCTACGCCACATTGCGTTTGACTCGAGATTGTTTTAGTGGATCAGGGAGAGCTGAATACACGAGAAATGGGGATGAGGGACGGAGCCAAAGCCTGACCGCGTGCGGCGGCGCACCCCGGCCGGAGCAGCGCGCTCTGCCCGGCGGAGGGAGCC